CCCTAGGCATAGACATATGTTCTTAAGCATAAATGGAAACTTGAAAGACACTGAACTTGATTTAGGATCAAAGAACAGTAAATAATGAAACACATACCTTAATTTCCCCCTCAATTAGCTTCTTAAAAAATAAGATACAGTACTATCACATCATTACCATAACCATGTACCAATTAATGATTTAGTACTCAGTGCCCTTTTATTTTACATCATATATTGCAGAAAATCTAACATGATTTCCCCATAAGCAAGTCCTACTTACCAAGTGCTCTGGCTACTGCCAGAAAAGGGATCTGGTCAATAACTGTGCTCCTTCTAACAGGTCCACTATGAGTGAGCCGAGGCCTTTTCCAAACTACACGGTTCACTCCAGACTTGTTCATCACACTAAAAAATAAAGTGTTCATATAAATACTCTAAATGACTAAAATATAACAAGATATTTCAATGTGTTCAGTAACTAGTAAAATAACATTATATTATCATAAAATGACTTAGCTTGCAAGGATGTATAAGCCAGAGTTCTGTTCAGAGAGAAAAAGGAAAACAGTGCAGGACTAAGCCAAATACAGCGGCACACATCTGTAATTGCAGCACTCTGGGAGGCTGCACCAGGAGGCTGTTAAATTCAAGCCCAGCCTGAGAAACTAAGGACCCTGCCTCAAAATTTAAAAGGGGTGGGGGGCTGCTGGGGACATAGTTCAGTGCAAATACCCTGGATTCAATACTTGGTACCACTATCACCAAAAAAAAGGGTAAGTTACATGAGCAGAATTTGAAGATAATCAACTCAGGTCAGCCAGACAAAACTAAATAGAAATAATGTAAAGAAAATTGAGTAGACATCATGTCAAAGAAAAAAGGAATGTCTTAACAGCTCAAATAACTAAGGAGAGGAAAAGAGCATCTGTAAATCAAGAGGTATTAAGTAGTAATAAAGGAAATTTTTATTAAAGCCGGGCATGATGACATACGCAAATCTCAGCACTCTGGGAGGCCGAGGCAGGAGGATCAACCAAGTTTGAGCCCAGCCTACACAACTTAGCAAGATCTTATCTCCAAAAAAAAAAAAAAAAAAAGGTATTTCTTTGGGAATGGGGGAAAACGGTTTTAGTATTTTTGTACTAAAAAAAATCAACAGAATATACCTCAAGAGACATATCTACATATGTATTTAAGTATTTTTGTAATTTGAAGACTCGACTTTAGGAAACCTATCAGTTATGATCTATAGACATATATCTGGAAATTAGAGTAAGAAAATCTTCCTAAAAATTTGCAGTATGAGTGACAGAAATCTGTAATTAGTACACACTCCAAGGTACGTAACACTTGAAAATATGGTTAATTCTCTGGGGGAAAAATATAACAGCGATAAATGGCTTTTCAATCTATTCCTGGCATGATTGAAATGAGACAGGTACAAAAAAACCTAGTAATCTCTACGTCAATATAATTCCAATTTGTCTTTTTTTTGTTTTTGTTTATCCTCTGAGGTCAGTACAAGGGTAGCATTCCTGGAAGGCTAGAAAAGATGAGGGGAAGAGTGGCAAATAGCATTTCTAAGAAACAGTATTTAGTCTACCTGACAAAACTTAAGATAGATCCTGATTCCTGATCCTCTCAAAGACAGAGCTCATTAAAATATCTAATTAAACCTCATATGATGGTCTAGGCCTATAAACCAACACTCTAGGAGGCTGAGGTAGGAGGATTACAGAGCCCAGCCTGAGCAATTTAGTCACTTGGTGAGACCCTGTCTAAAAGTAAAAAATAAAAAAGGGCTGAAGATATAGCTCAGTGTGAAGGCCCTGGGTTCCACGCCCAGTATAGTTAAAAAAAAAAAAAAAAAGATATCTAACCAAGTCCTTTCGTTTAGGGCCAGTGCATAAGCACGCAGAAACCTTTAATTATAATCTACAAAATAAGAATAATCTATAAAAACAGTCTATGCTGTGGCAGGTGTTTGCAATCCCAGCTACTTGGGAGACTGAGGCAGTAGGACTGCAAATTCAACCCTAGCATGGGCAACTTAGTAAGACCTTGTCTCAAAATTTTTAAAAATGGGGAGAAAATGACTGCATATGTAATATGTAGCTCAGCATTCTGTGGCTGTAATCTCCAGTACTACAAAAAATAAAAATAGGGCTGGGCGTGGTGGCACACATCTGTAATCCCAGCACTTGGGAGGCTGAGGCAGGAGGATTGTTGCGAGTTTGAGACCAGCCTGGGCTACAAAGTGAGCTCAAGGCCAGCCTGAACTGCATAGCAAGACCCTGTCTCAAAAAGACAAAAAAAAAATAAGAATAAAAATAAAGTCACTGGTTTCAAGATATGGAAAACTGAAGCTAGGACAGACCAGACAATAATGACTGCCTGAGAGGCAATATCACTATGAAATGCCCTACACCCAAGAAACAGCCAGCTAGTTCACCTCTATCTAGTCTTTTCTATTTCCAATGTAGTTTCAGAGGAATGAAGATGCTAGAGAGAAGAAATGAACAGAATAAAAGTTTGAAGCAAAATTAAGCCATAACATTTTTTGGAGACAAGGTGTCCCTATTTAGTCCAAGCCAGCCTTGAACCCTAACTTGCTCTGTCGACCAGGCTGGCCTTAAAATCACAACCTCCTGCCTCAGTTGGGATCACAGGGAGCCATGTCCGTATACCTAAGAAAAGACCAATCTTTTGAGCCAACAAAAACATGAATGTAGGAAGTGAATAGCTTCAATCTCCCTTCTAAAGTAGAAGACAAATTCAAAATCTAAAGAGGGCAGGCCAACAGGCAGGTATA